AACTTGCTTTTTTAAACAATAATTAACCATATTCACAGTCATAATTCTCAAAGACTAAAAGGGATCCTTTTCTACAAAATAGACCAGCATAGTGTACAACTCGTGCACTTTAAACTAGTATAAAAGAAGGAAATGGGTCTATTCTAATTAGTGTAATGTTAGTTCGCGAAGTTGGTGCAGTACGAAATAAGTTTATAGTGAGCACTCGCCTCCTTGAATATAAAAAAGATGAACATTTGATGAAAATATAAAAATTTGTTCCTTTCTGATTGTATTCTATAAACAGAAAAATGTCTGCTCTTATAAAGATGTCTGTTAAAAAAACGGAAGAGCTGAACAATGGAAAGATGGAAGGGAGCTCTCATGACCATGAGCTTCAAATGACTAGATGCAAAATTAACGCTTCCAACGTTAGAAGTACCGTCATTGGGATGAGAGATTTCATAGTCTTCTTGGATGCACGATGTTGGAAAGTTTTCGAATCCATTCGACAAGTGTTGTTTTAACATCGGTTGTATAGAAAATGAGTAAACACGCTACACATGCTACTGCCAAGGCAATACCTAAAAAGCCAATTCGATACTCAAACGTTTTATACTCGTTTCGAATGGCAGCCAAAATGAATATCATATAGGGAAGTCCAAGCAATAATAAAATAAGACATTGTATAAATATTCTATTCATCATTGTTAACCCTCGTTTTGTACGACGTTGTTCTTGTAAAGTAATGTGTTGAGTACGATTATCTAAATTTATTAGTTTCATTCTTGCCATGTGACCTCGATAGTTACACATGAGTACGAGATAAATCATTGAGAGAATGCATAATGGCAACAGATAGATGACGCATGCTAGGTACATCATGATGTCCGTATTACTTAACGGAACTTGACACAGATAACTGTTTGGATCATACACAATTTGACCGGTGACGAGAAGGTGAAGTGGAAAACAGCATGATATAAGCCACTGAATTAAAATTAAGAGAAAATTCATTTTGAATGTTTGCAAATAACGCTTCGTGTGATAAATAATGGCAAATAGTCGATTTAACGCCTGAGTACAGAATGAATGATAAAGTAAGGCGGTTGCAATGAATGAAATATAACCACGAAATTCGCACAAATTGTCTTTGGGATCGCCGTGTAGATCATGTCTGAGCACGTACACAGTTGTTGCAAGAAGATATAAACCGTTGAATAGTGCCGCTATACTCGAATTGGCTGCTAACAGATTCGAGACGGAATAGAGTTTGGAGTCAATGAGTAAAAAGAGGAATAAAATGCAGGATATAACAGCTATAATACTAGAAATGATCATCAACAGATCGATCGTCACATGCCAAGAAACGATCGTTAGTTGTGTGCTATTCAGGTGACTGAGATTACCGTTCATTGTTGTATGATTTTAACACGAAGATCTTCTCTTACTTTTGTGAGGCAGTAAATTTTTGACAGAAAGCCAGATATATATATCACACATTTTCACTGCGACTATGATTATGTTAGTCAATGAATGCGATGAAACTTCATGTGCTATATATATTTCTGGAAAAACAGATATATCTCTATAACGATTCTTTCAACTGATGTTAAATTCATTCATTCATAGCTGTAATCATTACATTCTTTTACATGAGAACATCTTTTCATTTCCTACTTTAATGAACTGGATAAAAAACTGAAATATGGTACCGTCAGTTGACAGTAAAATGTAGAATAATCTAACATAATAACTTTTTTACCTGGTCGTGAGACGCCGACGTTAGTTTTTAGATACAATTGAATAACGTGAAATCGACTTCCGTGAAAAACTTTTCGAGCTGAAAACTACGGTAGCACAAAAAAAAAGTCCTTTAATTATCATCAGTAATGTCTGATAAAAACCGAAGCATTTTTCTCATGAATGATCAAACTAGTTATCCATTTGAAAATATAAGCCCAGGGCATTGAAAACTGCCAAGTTAACTGCCAGTTAACCCCCGGTTAATTGCCAGTTGACAGGCAGTTTACTGGCCGTTTTTAGACCGTTCAGACAGTTTTTAGATGGTTTTTTGATGGTTCGGGTGGTATGGTTTTACCACCATAAATAGGTGGTCCTGATAGCGAAACGTGTGGTTTTATTACTTTAACTAATCTTTGTGTAAGTGTTAACGGAAATACGAGTAAGCTTTTGTCAAGTACTACAATCAACACTTAGAACGGAACAAGAATAATTTTAGACATATGTCCACCATCTTTGAACAGATATTGTGTGTTCTTATCTGATCTTTTGACGTTAGAAATCCATCTGTTAATTAGTTCGAAAGAATATATCTTTACCGTTACCGGCTTAGGGTGAAGATCAGGAAACTACTATCCGATTCAAAATATCAGATACTATGTACCTCTTTGCATGTTTTGTTTCTTCAGCATCGGTGAACATAATGCTTCTCAGAACAGTTGCACTTCGAATAATAGCCAAACAGAAAGAGGAAATAGCAGCTACCACCACACTCATGCTGAGTTTCTATAGTTCCACAGCGTCCATACTCAGAGACAGCATTTCCTCCACTTTTACGGCGCAAAAAAACAATCCGCTGGATTCAGTGTACAAGACCTAGTAAAGCCAAATATCGCTCGAGACGCAATTAATTGAATTCAATCCAGAAACTAGTCGTCCTTAAATCAATTAGCTAACACCACAAAAAGCTGTGACAGTATTCACACCATTACTCCTGAAAACAAGCATGAAAGTCTCAACTAGTAATAATAGATATATTCTTTCTAACTAATTAACAGATGGATTTCTAACGTCAAAAGATCAGATAAGAACACACAATACCTGTTCAAAGATAGTGGACATATGTCTAAAATTATGCTTGTTCCGTTCTAAGTGTTGATTGTAGTACTTGACAAAAGCTTACTCGTATTTCCGTTAACACTTACACAAAGATTAGTTAAAGTAATAAAACCACACGTTTCGCTATCAGGACCTTCAGTTTGTGAACCATTTTAATGTTTATCAGCATTTCCGTGTTGATTCTTGGCTTCGGCACCAGATTCGATAAGCGAGATTTCTGTCTTGATTTTTTCTCGTAAACACACTTTCTAATCGTTCAACTAATACCATGCATTTATCTGCTTTCCTACTTGTGATTATATTTCTCTGCCATGCCACCGATGCTTCATATCGAATGTATGAAACCATACACAGCAGTAATGAGAGAATCGCTAATGCGTTTCATTGTCTATACAACTTATACAAGGAGCCATTCATACCAATTTGGACTGTTTTTGACAAGACAGCGAACATTAATATGCTACGCTTCTGCCGACGGACAGCAAGGAAAAATAACAATATATCTTTGTCTCTCGATGCAAAAGTCGATAATGCAGAAGCATTTACCTTTGACCGTCTACGTAAAACGGGTATTTCGGCTCGACAATTGTTCGATTGGTATGCACCACTGGATACTATAGAAGAATACATACTAGGACAGAATGAGGGGCAATTTTTTAATTGTTCTAAAACAGAAGGCAATTTTTGGTTTGGACCAAGATGCGAATACATGTTCAATTCTAATGATACACTTGTCAACATTATTGTTAATCAATTTACGGAAAAGAATAATCATGAAGTTTTGTTGTTCACAGATGGTACATGTTATCCAATGAACGATGGCGAATGTCAATCTGTCCTGTGCTTAGACTGGAGAGAAATCTGTGATGGTAAATTACTATTGATTAAAAGAAACAATTTAGTAGAGTCAAAACTAATCGAGAAAGTCTTGAAAGCATATTTCTATCTGAGAAAATGAAGCGTTTTTCCAGTGTTGTAATCAAATGAAGGAAGGAAAAAAGGAGTTTCTATGAAATCTTAACTAAATTCGTTCCATGATATGCCTATTTTCTTCTCGTTCTAGGTAAAATCGATTGCAAGAACGGACTGGATGAGTATCGTTGTCATGAGCTTGAAATGAATGAATGTGATTCTAGGACTGAATATCGCTGTCTTAATGGACAATGCATTGATCAAGGGTTGTATTCAGACCGTGAATTTGATTGTTTGGACTTTTCCGACGAGACATCCCATAATCGTGGCAAAGTATGCTATAATGTTTTCACTTTGGATTGCGATGATCGATTATGTCCTCCCACGTGGTTCTCATGTGGTGATGGCTCTTGCAATGATGGACCGAATGTTGATAATGGACAAGGATGCGATTCTCAACGAGATCGTCTTTACTTTAAACAAATGCCACCATCGACACTTATCTTATTCTCACATGTATCCCTGATCTACGATGATACTCGACCAGAATGGATCTGCTATAATAAGACGCTATGTCCGTATCTTTCTATGAACGATTATACTCTATCGAAATCGGTGACCTTCGATGGTTTGACGTGTCAAGTATTCAGCGTATTCACAAATCGAACTTATACGAGTTTGTATGATATGATAAAAGAGTTCAAGCGCTTTGTGAGTTCATGTTCACTCTCATCTCAAATTCACTCATCGACGGAATGTTCGATGTTTTCATGTGATGATAAAAGCAAATGTCTCTCATTTCATTGCCTATCGGATGGGAATGAGGATTGCCCTAAAGGAGAAGATGAACGTCAAAATAATACGTGTTCATTAGCTCTTCCCCATCGATATCAATGTGACAAGGGAACACGATGCATTCCTTACGTACTCGTCGGTGATAACATAGTAAGTTTGTACTGATTATTGTGTTCACATTATGAATTTAAAAGAATTACGTTTCATTATAGGTACATTGTTCCGATAGAAGTGACGAATATGGGTATCATAGTTTAATATGTTTTAATCCAAACGACAATGACTGTCGTCATTTCCGAAAGCTACCAGTTCGTTACAGTTTAACTTTCCATACACTGTGTAATGGTGTTCCGGAAAATATTCTCGACTCGAATAATAACACAGATGAATCGGACTGTTTGATGAATGAATGGCGTTGTCTTACCGAGCATTCGAGGTGCAATAAAGTGTGGAACTGTCCAGATGGACGTGATGAAGTCGACTGTAATCAAGGTCCTCCCACATTCGAATTATGTGTTAATCATACACATTTCTGCTTGAATATGACGACTGGTCTTCCCATATGCTTGCCTCAATCAAGAGCTGGTGATGGTAATATTGACTGCGTGGGTTCATTAGATGAACGAGCGTTCTGTCGTACAGAATATCCGGGTGATATAATGCGTCGATATCGGTGTCGAAATTCTAATCAGTGTATTTCACCCATGCAAATTTGTGACTGTCATCAAGATTGTCCAGAAAATGATGATGAAATGATTGCATGCGTTTGGCTAAACAATGGACAAGAACCTTTCTGTCATCATGTCGATTTTCGATGCCGCAACGGAATACGTCTGGACTGCACTTCGAAGCCATGCCGCTGTGACAGAATTAGCTCCGATTGTGCGGACAATGAGGATGAATTATTCTGTGAATTGGTCGATACCACTTGGAGTCGACCACTATTACTGGATCAGGTAGAACAATATCCCAATGAGAAATATCTTGAAATTGAACGGGGATCATCCGCATCCGACGGTTTTATTGCTTGGCATTGCAATCGAGGATTGTATGTTCGTTCGACAGATAATCCTTCCAATTTCTATTGCTTTTGTCCGGACTATTATTATGGTGATCGTTGTCAATATCAACGCAAACGAATTAGTCTTATTCTTCAACCAATAATCGCAGAGTCCTTTGATCGTTTATCAATATTCAAAATTGTTGCTCTGTTAGTACGACAAAATAGCATCATCTTGTCACATGATCAATTTTTCTATGTACCACAAGTTCAATGTTTACCAAAGTATTTCTTAAATTTACTTTATCCGATCAATGAATCATGGTCATCATCGTTTAATCATTCTGTGCATGTTCACAGTTTCAATGCACGTACACTTCAACATCTTGCCTCATGGCAATTTGACGTACCGTTTGATTTCTTACCTGTGATTCGAATAGTAAAACGTCTTCTCATCGCTGATACCGGGATGACAGATGAATTAGCATTTCCCACAGTGGACAATCGGAGTTATAATTTGTGCTCCATTTCTGCGATCTATCTCGGATATGATATTGATCTTGGTCGAGACATTTGTGTATGTCCTTTAAACCGCATTGGTCGTCGATGTCTCATATCATTCGATCAATGTAGTAATGACAGTTGTTATGGACATGGACAATGTATACCTATCGATGAACGTTTTGATGTGGGAAAACAGTTTATATGCTTATGTGATGTTGAATGGTCTGGTGATTTTTGTGAAAAACCAAAAGCAATGATTCATGTGTCATTTGCATCAGGCATTATTATTTCTTCATTCAGAACTGCATTAATTCACATCATTTTGCAAGATGCTTTGTCCACTCATTTAACTTATTTTCATAGTTTGCACTCGGAATTGTCAACCTTCACAGTATTCCTGGAAAAGCATGAACATATTATGGGTCTTATCTTCATTCAACTACACGAAGATCTTAATCGATTCGTCTATTATTTATTGGCTGTAGAAAAAGGAATGTTTGGTAATCTAAAGCGAAACATTAGTACCGAAGTTCATCCATCTCGTCGTTGTCGATCGATTGACGAATTGTTCAATGCCACTGTCATCTCGCAACCTCGGTTACGTCGCATCAAACACTATCAACAGCCATGTCTAAAACGAATATCTGGAGAAAAACTGAAATGCTTTTATGACGACGAGCTTATATGTGTATGCGATAAGACCAATTATGCCTTTTGTATTAATTTTGAATCGGCATCATTCGAATGTCTGTGGAACAAGTGTAGCAATCGAGGAAAATGCGTACAGAATCATGAAATTTGTCCATCGAGTTCCTTGTGTCTTTGTGAACCGTGCAGTTATGGATCAATCTGTCAATTCTCAACAGCTGGCTATTCTCTCTCACTTGATGCTATTCTTGGTTCACATCTAGGCACCAAAAATACCAATATATTTGAACAGACAAGAGTTATTAAACTTAGTATGCTTTTTCTCAGTATATTATTTATCACTGGCACTATTCTTAATGTATTTGCCATCGGTACATTTGCCCAGAAAATGACACATAAAGTAGGCTGTGGTCTTTACTTATTTATTTCATCATTTCTTGGCCTTCTTACTATGATCATGCTCATGTGCAAGATGATTCTCTTGATATATTTTGAACAACAAAGTATAACTTGTTCACTTGTCGAATTTCTCCTCAAATGGGGACAAACAGGTTCTGGATGGCTCAATGCATGTGTAGCAGTCGAACGTACTTTGGCTGTTATTCGTCAGGCACAATATTCTAATTTAGCAAGTAAACGTCGAGCAAAATGGGTTGTGATGAGTGTACTTCTGTTGATGGGTGTTGTCTGTTCGCCAGAATTAATTTTTCGTCGAACAGTTATTGATAGGCAGGACCAGCGAGTATGGTGCGTCTTCAATCTCAATAATGATCAAAGAATATTTCAAACACTCTATTCAGTCTTGAATATATTGTTATTCATAGTTCCCTTATCGATCAATTTACTCAGTAGTATTCTAATCATTATGGGCACTTTTCGTTCAAAAACCAAAACAACTGTAATTACCAATGTCAAGTGCGATGATGTCGGCAGCGAAGCCACTAAAACTAACAAAACGAACGTGACGTTAGCCAAGTTGAACAATCGATCGGCAATGATCAAAGAGCAAATTATCAAACATAAACATATATTGATCGCACCTGTTCTTCTCGGTATTTTCTCCGTGCCACATTCTGTGCTCGCTTTTATTTTGGTATGCACCAAGGTTGATCGAAATCCATTTGTCACTTTATCCGTTTATTTGATTGGCTATTTCCCATCGATGGCAATACCCTTTGCATTCGTTCTACCGTCACAAACCTATCGAAAAGCTTGTCATTTATGCGTCGAACAAATTCTCCCACAATGTATTCGAAAGTGGCTTGAGACCCACCGTCGTCCTCGACTTTAATTCATTCTATGCTACATCCTGTCACGAACGATTCTATCATTCATATCTCGTGTAAATCAATTCTTCAATCGCTTTTCTTTTTATGTTAAACTCGCATCTTTCTGGAAAATCTTGCCACGGAACACCAGCTACGAAAGCACCGATGATGAGACATTTAATTTTGCGTATGCAAAGTATGTAAATGTCGTTTTACGGCGTCTGTCTTTCGTATTAGAAGAGTTCTTTCGGAAGAAATTGTGAGAAGACAGTAGCCTTTGTCGATGTTAATCTTTTATTGTTTTATTGTGCACTCGTTGGTCTTTGAATGATTTGTATTTTGTGATTCCGATCTCATGTCTCTTTGGTTACATTCGATATTGTCCTTCTGTTGTACACATTAGTTCTCTGTCTATACTCTTAATATAGTTTTCAATTCGAATTTAGTTAAGATTTCATAGAAATTCCTTTTTTCTTCCTTCATTTGATTACAACACTGGAAAAATGCTTCATTTGTTCAGATAGAAATATGCTTTCAAGACTTTCTCGATTAGTTTTGACTCTACTAAATTGTTTCTTTTAATCAATAGTAATTTACCATCACAGATTTCTCTCCAGTCTAAGCACAAGACAGATTGACATTCGCCACCGTTCATTGGATAGCATGTACCATTTGTGAACAACAAAACTTCATGATTATTCTTTCTCGTAAATTGATTAACAATAATGTTGACAAGTGTATCATTAGAATTAAACATGTATTCGCATCTTGGTCCGAACCAAAAATTGCCTTCTGTTTTAGAACAATTAAAAAATTGCCCCTCATTCTGTCCTAGTATGTATTCTTCTATAGTATCCAGTGGTGCATACCAATCGAACAATTGAACAATCTGTCATCCCGGTATCAGGGATGAGAAGACGTTTTACTATTCGAACTCTTTCACCGGAATATTTTGGTAACTTTGACGCCCCTTGTGGCTAGTGGTAAATCGCCTGCAGTTGCGTGGAAAAGCGCTATAGAATGCCGGAAGAGTCTTATTTTGCTCAGAATTTTTCGCTCTATCAGGCTGTATGGCTTGCAAAATTTTCTCACTAAAAACTAAGGACTTGGTTTATAAGCAGGCAGGTTTTCCGGAAGCTCTATTATCAACTTTTCTCATGAAAGGCGGACATGCACCTAATCTGATAGAAAAATCTTCGGACTTTTCAAAACACTATTCAGATTCGTCCCAGCTTTTACTAAAAGATCAAAAACAAGGAAGTTCTTGTCATTATGACACACGGTACTGCTTAGATAATACCCAAAACTTTCGTTTCAATATCTTTAATGACAGGCCCCACCGGTCTGTATATTGCGACCGGCTCACTTTGTAGAGAATTTCAAGGGCTATCCAGTGGTATGTTTTGAAACAATACATAATTTTCATTATGTCAGAAAAACGACTAATGGAGTGTTGAAAGCACTAAGATAGGTCCAAATCATTATATTGGACAAGTATTTCAACTAATGATTCATGTGGGCATATTTCTGAAAGACTTGTTTATCGCTCATCTTGAAGCTCGTGCAATTCTCTATTGAATGGTATATGTATCGTCGCGGTTAGTGGACAAGTGTGAAGCACAGGCTCGTCACCGTGAAATAAGCCCCCGATCTTTCACGGCTTTCGAGACAGTATTGCTAATGTCAATGTGCCCTAGGACACTTTCCTCACTAGTTTATATATATGCAATTGTAGCGCGAGAAATTCTCTATCGAATGGTATATGTATGGTCGTGGATAGTGGTCAAGTGTGGAGCACAGCATCGTCTCCGTTCAATAAATCACCCACTTGCTGCGGCTTTGCCCTATTCGTATATTATAAAATTCGGAATAAACGAATTAAAAAGACAACCTTTCTTATTCGGCGAAGCTTTTCTAAATTCGAAAAAGTTGCAAAACAATTTTACAATGTCTTCCGAGGTTTTTGTGACCTTCGGGAAACCTTTTTGATTATACTCTTTTATATATTTTTGTACTAGACTTTGCTCTTTCTAACAAAAAAAGAATGAAGTCTCCACGATATTCCATCGCAACGCTATATATAAAAGAAAATTAATGCAGAATTTTTGCACCATCCGTTAGAACAATATCCCAATGTGAAATATCTTGAAATTGAACGGAGATCATCCACACGAATGGTATATGTATGGTCGTGGATAGTGGTCAGGTGTGGAGCACAGCATCGTCTCCGTTCAATAAATCACCCACTCAGCGGCGTATCCAAGGGGGGGGGGGCAAATGGGCAATTGCCCATTTCATTTGGGGATTTGCCCATTGTAATTTTTATTAGTAAGTTTTTGCCCATTGAAATTTTACTTAGCAGATATACCCAGGCGGTTTCTTTT